GCCCTCAGTGGGCTTGCACAAAAATCTCATGCAAAATGCATGCGAAAGTCAAACGGAGCCACAGCCAGTCACTGGCTAGACAGAATGGACAGACTAACAAACGGACAGCACAGCAAGATGAATTCAGCAGCTTACTTATTAACTGGCCTTAGGACTCCAACCTGCCACCTTCCACCTCCCACCTCCAATCTCCTGGGCAGCTGCAGCTCCTGCTCCTGCTCCAACCACCATTTCCATCTTTACTTCTCTCTCTCTCTCTCTCTCTCTCTCTTTCTGGCGGTGTCTACTACTGTGCCTGGTTTTGTCTGTCCGATTTACTTTATTTTGGTCCATAATTTGATGTATTGTGCTCTATGGAACGCAATTTAAATATGTGCGCAATTACGTAAAATGTTTGCCAGTCTCCTCTCACACCAGCATACAGTATGTGCAGTATGTATAAGCACGGGCAGCACACAGCCCAGCCAGCTAGCCACATACCGACCAGAATCCAACATACGTCAGCTCTGGGATGGTTGACCAAAACGATTGCCAACCATTTGGACGTTGCTGACGACTGAGGCGAGGCAGGTGCCAACTAATCAAAAATGCTAGTAATTATAATTGATTAAAACGGCACGGCACGGCATGGCATGGCATGGCATAGCATGGCATGGATGATGACGACTACGACGACGATGGTGATGGTGATGATGGCTGCGCTCTGTTCGGACAACTGACAACGGACTGTGGGCCTTGGGCATTATGCAGGACGCAGGCTAGCGTGAGGCACATGGACTGTAATGGGAGGAAAAAGGCGGAGCACAAAGTTGCACGGCCCTAGGGGATTATATGGAATCAACGCTTTGGCTGGGAAACGGTTTTGCTTACAGATAATGCTAATGCCGCAAGCTATGAGCGGGGCAACATTTTGAGTGTTGAGCCCTATTGATCAACACATCCCCAGAATGACTATAATGGCAGCACACATGTTTCCATACTTATTAAATAATATATATTGCAAAATTAACAAAAAGTAATCCAGAAAATTGCTAAGAAAAATAATTGAGAGCATTTTCTTGGATTAGCAACGAAGGGCGAAACGTTTGTCTTACTTAGCGGAAGGATATTCAACTGCGCTCCTTTAAAACTAAGTTTTAATCACAGATTCCATTAAAGTTTTAGCGACCGTCCAACTACTAGTCTCCTTCCTGTGCCATACTCTGGGCCTGGTTCCTGTTCGCTTTTATCTTATGCTCATTCACGCTGCTCTCATTTTAAGCTGGTCCTTTATCTGAATTTTCCTTGTTTTATCTGCGCTTTGTACTGCCAATCTTTTGGTTCAGGTTCTCTCTGCTCATCCGATCCGATGCTCATACAAAGTGCATGCATCGCTCTGGCCGTGTCCGCAAAAATGTCGTGGAATCAATTTTGCAGTAAATGTTCAATATGCAGCGCACACACACACACACACACACACAACGGGCGGTCGGTATGTGCTCCTTCTGCCTACCCCGTGCCCTGCCCTGCCCTGCTCGTCACGCCTAGTATTTCCTGGCCGAGGTCCTGGTATGTGGCTGGTGGCTCGTGGCTGGTTTCTAAAGGACCAAACTCGGACCGCACACACGAAAACCCGAAAATGTAATTGAAAAATGATTTTGTTACACATGTCCTGGTGCATAGATAGGCATAGATGGGGCATGCACCCAAAGCCCTAAACCGAAGCCACACTAGAGCCACAGGGACAAGGCTCGTGTTTGGAGCTGCTGATGAGCATGAGGACCCGTATCCGGAATGCATTTTGGCTGCGTCCAAACGTGGCGGCGTTGCTTTTCGGTAATTTCGTGGCCAGGACGCAACAATTTTTTAATTAATTCGTCGAGAATTGGGTCTGCCAGACCATGGGGCACAAAAGCCTTCCTTGAGCTATCCTAATTAGCATATAAATGACATTGTCCTCTTTGTCTTAGAGCCAGTGATAAAAGATGAGGGGGTATAGGGGGTGGGCATAAGGATGGGGGCTTTGAAGCTCCTTTCAGACATGTTCTACTCGTATTTTGCTTATTGATTTAGCATTAATTGTTAATAACCGAAGAGCGGCCGCATCGAGCACCGCACAGTTTAACGCACCTGACAAACCGCAACAAGCCCGACACCATAGACACCAGAGAGTGACAGAGATAGAGAAAAGAAGGGGGCGAAGGGGGAAAATTGCCCACCTGGCGCCGTGGCGCCTCCACTCGATTATTGGCCATAAGGTTTTGGGGTTTTGTTGGGTTCGTTTTCGCCGCTGCCTAAACACGAAACTCAATTAACTTGTTAATTTATTTGCCATTTTCTTTGTTCGTGGCCGCCCAGTGACAACAACTCGACCGAGGACGATGGGTAAGGTAACCCAGGCAATGGTTGGCATCGGGCTTTAATTTTTTATTTATTTTTGGTATGGGAATGGGCATGAGTTTCTTCAGGCTGCCTCAGATGTTGTTGGATAGTTAATCACTCGCTGTTCTCCCTCTGCCTCTGTTTTTTTTTTTTTAATTCATCTTGGGTTGAGTTTTTGTTTGCTGACACTCAACATATATTTTTAGAGCAGTTCCCTTTTTGGGCATTCTACTACCTGCTCTGTCATCCCTTTTGATTTAAAGTTAATCTTATTTTTAATTGATTGCTGATCAGCCAAGCCATAATGATATTTTCTGTGAACTTTCTTATAAGAGTTTGCAGAGCTATAAGAGCTTTAAGAATATTTGTTGTAAGTATGAGAGTTACTATTACCATTACTTTTTTTTTTATATTTACGTTATTTTGTGACTGAATTTCATAATTTTGTTGGTACACTTTTCTTATATTTCGACTGTTGACTTTCTAATTGTTTCCAGTTTCTGTTACAATATTGCCATATTTTGTTTTTAGTTCATTCATCGTTTATTCCTCTTTGGTGGTAACATATTCTTTGATATTTTTAAGAATCAAATGTATTTTATTTTCGTTTTTTAAATATATGTAAAAGTTTCTGGTTCACTTGTTTTTCGATACACTACATATTGTCATCTTTGAATAAACTCCTTATCCTTTTCACTTTGAACCATTGACTCGCCCCACTTGGCTTTGGCCAATCTTTTTTCCCTTTGGGAATTGGATTGTCTTCCGTTGATGATAATTGGGAACGGAGGGGAGACGAACCCGTCTTGTACTTTTGAGCAACTGCCGTTCGCTTTGGGAGTCGGGGCAATGTGTATATTGAGGGCTAGGTTAGAAATCGTTTCACCGTTGCTCACTTTCAACTTTATTCTTGGCAGGGGTGGGGGGAGCTGGTTGGTGCCGGAAAACTTTTCCCTTTGTATAATTAAAACTAGAGGCAGGAAAACGAAACGAAACGGTGAAAGGCAGCAGCGATGAAGACAAACGAAATTGTTTACATGTGTCTTTGTTACAGTTATCCATTGGTGGGCGCTTTCCCTTCGGTGAGGGGCTCTAGGGGGTTGGTGTGGTGTGGTGTGGTGTGGGGCTGGGGCTGTGGGGCGCTAGTGTTGGTTTAGTGTTAGTGGGCCTACACCGCGGTTGCAGCTGCTTGGTTACTGCTGGCGGCATGTTTTCTCTTTCTCACTAGTCAGCAGTCAGCGCCGCCCGTCTGTCTGTCTGTCTGGCTGTCTCTTTCCCGTTTATTTGCCTCTACTCTTTGCCTTGTTGTTTCACCACCCCCATGAAGCCACTCATTGCATTGCATTACACTTGCATATGCAAGACTTCAGTTTAACATCTCGCCATCGTTATCGTCGTTGAGTGCCCTTCTCTTGTTCACGCCCATTTTATTTAGCATTTTGTTGTTTTTTCGGTTTCCTGCGGTTTTTAATTAAAATTAACTTTGTTTATTTTACGCTTCCCCTCACCACACCCCATCCCATACCAGCCAATACTCTGTCTTTCTCTCACGCCAGCACTCTCTTTAGCCGCCTCAGACACAGTAATGTTTACTCTGCCCCGCTCTCTTGCGCTGCTCGGCCAGCTCTCTGCTCTGCCCCGCTCACCGTCTTTCTTTGCTTACCCTTTGGCAGAAGGTAATATGATTTCTGTCAGATGTTTGCAGGCCTACATACATATGTACATAAATATATTTCCGATCAGCATGATGAATGCCGTCAAGATAGGATTAGTATATCACATATAAATGTGATATGTATGTACATGTATGTAGAACTAGATATGTATGCACAAAATATGTTCGATTTATTCCAATAATATTTGCCCATTAATGTTCATAGCTTTCGTTTATCTTGGAGGATATTAAACTTAAAATCAAATGATAAATATAAATTAAATAACAAACGATGAACCTGCAAGGGTATCAAAAGACTCGGACAATTCTTTATTTGTCCTCTCTCTCTCGCTCTCTCTCTCTCTCTGTTGCTGCTGCAGTTGTGTGCAGGCTGTTTGTTGTTGTTGTCTGAGTAGCTGCATGTAATTGCCGGCATTTGCGTTGTCATCGCCCGCCCGCCAGCCAGCCCGTTGCCCGTTCAGCTTTCCCTACCTGCTGGCAGACGGACAGACAAACAGACAGACAGAAGGACCGACAAGAGAGAAGAGTTCTACAATCATCGCCCAGCATCTAGAGCTACCTGCCGCTTGGCTTGTGTAACTTTTTGCAAGTTTGTTCACGTTTATGTGTTATGCCTGCTGGTACCCAAACCGCCACCGGCGCACCACTCATTATGATTAGTGCATTTTATTAGCATTTTGATGCAATTCGTTTATAGGAAAAATATACCTATAAAGAAAGTTAACGCCCACTGCAATGGGAATTCAGCAATTCAGCTGGAAAAAAACTCTGAACGGACTCGCATAGCAAAACCATATCAATTGCATTCAGACCAAAGTTCTTAAATAATTCCTAAACAAACAGCAAAGTTTTTTATTTTTTTTATTTTAAAAAGCTGTCGAAAGTCTCATATACAAAATTATTTATAATTGCGAAGTGGCTGTTGTGTGATTTATGTATGTATTGTAATGCAAACTTTTGTATACTCTATAGATTTACATTGGCGTCTCTGTTGTGGAACGGGTTTTCTCCTTTGGGTAAAGTTGGGTCCAATTCACAGACAAAGGCCATCTTCTTGTCGCAACTGTCCACGCCCATGACCAGTTCGGTGCCCGTAAACTCCGTGTAGACACAGTAGCCATCGCCGAAAGGCTTCTTTGGGGGCTCCTTCTTCTTGAAGTTGGTAAAGTTCATCGGCTTGGCGTCATTGTGCCAGTAGAAATCGTGCAGGGTCTTGTGATCAATATCTTCGGGATCGGACAGGCGTCCCCGATGGGCGCCCACCCAGAAAATCGAATGGGTTTCGACGTGCGCCTTGTACTTCAAGTAGTACGAAATTTGTCGCATTTCCTCGACCGAACGAATTGTCACCAGTCGGCATTTGTCATCGATGGCTTCACAGCCTAGGTAAGCATGAAGCCAGCCCATCTAAAAAATCGAAAATCAAATTGGAGTATTTTGGGGTGCATGTACATAGCCGGAGGGGTGGGGTGTGTGTAAATACTCACTATGACGGGTACGCTGAGAACTCGCGCTTTGTAGGTGACCTTGTAGTACTCATAAGTGGGCTAAAAGTGAGCAAAATATAAGAGAGAATACCTGGCATACGAATGACATACGAACGGCCTTGTTGGAGGAGAAGAATAGGCAACGTCCACCGACGTCCACGAAGGGCTTCGTGCAACGAGCTGCAAATCCACAAGAGCATAATAATAGCATTATAATGCCATAATAATATTTATATTTATAGCATAATAATATTTAATAATAATTAAGTAGGGCGAACACAAAACATACGTTGCCAGTAGTCCTGAAAGACAATTGTGCCAGTCAGGAGCATGACGAATGTTACAAAAACTATCGATTTTCCAAGAGATGTCATTTCGATCAGATATTAAGCTACAAACTGCGCCCCAACCAGAGCGTGCATGAGACTTTTATAGACAGAATATAGACCCCACCCCAGCTCAGCCCAACACACGCACAGCTGGCGGAGAGCCATTTGGAAAACGGCAAAAACAGAAAAAATAACAATAAAAAGTGGCGTACGATTATGTGCAATCGCAGCCCAGAAAAGGTATCGAATTTCGTTGAATTAATCGTAATTCCTAGGTAACACTTTTACCCATGCACAGCTCTTTCCGGAGAACCCTTTCCATGGCAGTTGTTGAAAAATGATTCTAGCTATTGGACTCCCTCTGGCAGCTCAGTTACCATTCCAAAAACAAAACGAAAAATCAAAGCTGAACATATGTATAGCTAAAATATAAACTCTGGCACAATATTAATACAATTATTAATTATTAATAAATATAAAGAATATTAAAGGCAAATAAGCGCCCAAAAGCTTTTTGCACCGATCAAATCCAATCAAATGAATGCTTGAAATAATCTTAAACTTGACTCTCCTCGCAGAAACGATCAATGCTGACAATCTCATTGTTGGAGCCCATCGTGTCCATGGTGGGCGCCATTAGTGTGAGTGTGGGCACAGACGGATCCCTCTGGGCATGGCTGGGGCTGGCCGCACCCATCGAACGATGCTGCTGCGGATTGTTGCTGTTGCTGTTGTTGAGCAGCGTGCAGTGGGCAGTGGTTGAATCCCTTTTGGATGCGGCTGCTTGCAACACTGCAGCACGATCCTCCATTTGTTCCGTGTATAGCTGTTCGATCAGTTCACGGAAGAGTGTGGGATTCACATTGATGCTGACGCCCATTAGGACGAACCAGTCGCCGTAGCCGGTGGTGGACAGAACCTCGCGAATATGCGACTTAGGCATGCCGCGCAGATGGGTGCGCAGCAGCTGGAGTCGCAGCTGGCAGCAGCAGACGAGTATGAGGCGATACAGCATGTTCAGGCCGGAGAGCAGGGCGATGAACAGGAACCACACATACAGCACGGCGAAGATCTTCTCGTTGAGTATGTTCAGCGGCAGGACACAGAGAATGTCGAGCACACTCGGACTGCCGCTGGGCCCGTACACAAACATCTCGCACTTGGCCACCTTGGGGAAGACGCGCGAGGTCATCATGTTCCACAGTTGCCAATCGTAAACGGGTATGGCGGCCAATGCGTGTATATACTTCTGCCAGAACCCATTGAACACCACATCCATGAGCCAAAAGTTTAGTATCTGGAAACAGTGGGAGAGCAGCGATGAGTAGTCCTGGCTCCCTGCAGTCTCTGACGGTTTACTCACGCTTATCAGCAGATTGAGCATCTCACAGAATGTATACTTGATGGCATAGCAGCAGTGGATGCTGGAAAATTTCGACCGAAAGTATTTAGTGAGCATCTGCAGCCGAGTGCGATAGGTGTCCTCCAGTATGATGGCGCCACCCACCTCACAGCACAGCTGCGTCATGCGATGCCCCTCCCACACCTTCCACAGATACGAGGGCAGGTAGAAGAGCAGCGACTGAAACAGCAGGATCATGAACACCCACTGATAGTAACGCAAATAGAGGCGCTTCGTGACGCCCCGCTTCTCGGGACCGACGCCCTCCGCTATCGCAATGATGCGTGCGAACATCTGCACATCTCTGGCCATCAGGCCGTGCAGACCGCTCCGATTGCGGTCCGTCGCCGCGGGCAGGCCGCCCAAGTAGAGGCCCGTGCTGATGTTCGTCTCGGTGGGCAGGATGTAGGTGCCCATGGTCCAGCAGTAGGACTGGATGTACTCCTTGTGGCTGCTGGTGCTGATGCACAGGATGGGCTCGCCGAAGTACTGCTTGGCCGACAGCAGGATCGTGCAGGTCAGCAGGATGACGATGGTGCACTTGGAGTGCAGTGTGAATATCGGGTCGTATATGCGCACCGTCTTCTGGCGCAGATACTTCGAAAGGGGCTTCACGGCCGCATACATGGCCAGATCTTAGGAATATTGAAGTTGCATTTGCCTCCAGGACTCCTGCTTGGGTCCACTTACCGTTTAACTGCCGTCACGTCACACTTTTTGTATACCTTCACAGACAGTTTTTCTTATTTATTTTATTTTGTTTTCAATCAAATCTGACAAGTGAATTTGACAGTTTGTCTCAAATTTTCCCTTGTCTATTGTTGGTGTAACGTTGCTGCAGTGTTGCCAGCCTTAAATGGCAGTGGGTAACTGAGTCTGCAAATTAATGAAGATTTTCGGAATGCATCGCTGCGATTTGTGGCCTATTTTAATTAACTAAATTAACTATTAAATAAATAAATATTCCTAACAATATATGTATATTCCCGAAGTGCCAACGAAATTCCTTTGCCACGGTACCGGTGCACACCGATCACCTTACCTGGGACATTGGACACTTGTTGGGAGGCGATTGCTTAGGTATCCCTCGGTTACCGGGCAAACCCCTCACATGCGCGAGCCAGTCAGCAGTCTCCGACTTTCCTCACCGGGAATATTGGACGCTGACTGCAGGGCTAATGATTAGGTAACCTTCTGTTACCGATCAGCCTGTCTGCACGCGCAGACTATAATTCGGCAATATATATTTATATAAGAACCCTTCCCACATTCTCAATTAGAAATAAGATATCTGTAAGACATTCATGGGAAAATCGAAGGCCGGCCGGATCTATAAAAGGCACTGCCTTGCATGAAGAAAAAGGCAGTCCACCAGCCATCGTAGGCAGGCAGTCAATCAGCCATCGCAGGCAAGCAGTCCATCCACCATCAACAGAAAAACAATCATACGCGTCGTAACACCAATAAAGATAACCTGAGGCATAACATAAGCGATAGCATAATAATACGAAAGAATAAAGATATCTTTAAAAAAGTCAAGGAACCAAGAGTGTTGTGATTTTGCTAACCCATTTTCAGTTGCTGGCAAAGTTCCTGGTTTTCCAAATAAAGTCCTGCGATTTATAAATAACTTGTAATTCAGGACCCTGGACAGACTGACGCCTATCCCAGCCTGAGATAGGACCTTACAAAGTACGACGCAGGAAAACCTGCAGATTACACTGAAGAAGTCACCAGGACTCTTCAACACAAACTGGCAGCAAGCCACATACTTAGGTAGAATCTCCTACCAATAAGTAGAACAATTTGGCAGATCTGTCACTTTCAGATCATCAGCCAACAAGATCAACGATTAATAAGATCAAGATCACAAGTGCGTTTCACCAGCACAAAACCTCCATCCAGTACGTCGTCTGTACTTTTACTTTGACCAACATCGGTTGCGAATAAGAGCGTATCCAGCTGCAATGCAAATTAAATACTTCCAACGAGCCAAAGTAATAAGTAAGAGGCGAAATGGATTCACACAAAGAGGAACACACTGCCGCCACAGAGGCATTAAATGAGCAGCAAGAAATTGGAGATGAAATTTCGAAGATAATTAGGAACTTCAAAAAAGACTCTCCAGAAAGGAAGCAAAATATAACGTACTTTCAAATAAAAATCGACACTAACGAAATCGACACCAAGATATCGAAATCATACAAAACCGATCATTACGTTAAATTTCGTGAGGACTTACGTAAAACACTAAAAACATACGTTGCGATCTTTACTGAAAGCATGGACAAGCTAAATCAGGCATCAAGTGCTCATGTGGGTCAAAATATCGATCCACAATCGAATGATCGGAGCCAGCAATTCACGGAGGCTTACAGCAAATTGCCTTCACTATGTCGCCGACAAAAGGCCAAAGTAGAGTCCATAAAACGCATTCTGAGACAATTCTCAGAGGCAGGAGGACGCACATTAAGTGATTTGATAAAATCCACGAGGAATATGATAACCCAGAAGAAGGAGGATACAACATGGAAGCCTACCTGACCCTGGAAAAAGAGGTACAAAGAGCATTGACAAAACCAGCCACATCAAACAATAATGACATGCAGCTTCCACGCATCAACATTCCCAAGTTCGATGGGGACATACTAAAATGGACCCAGTTCTATGACCTGTTCTCATGTATGATACATGAAACAAACATTCCCACAGTACGGAAGATGTGGTATATAAAAACAACCGTAACTGGAGAGGCAGAAAGATTGATCCGACATATCGATCTAAAGGAAGAACATTATGTGAGCGCCTGGGAAATTCTGATTGATACATACAACAATCCCAGAGACGTCGCTAGCACGGTATTGAAACGCTTCCTAAATTATAACACAGTTAATGACGACTCCAATTCATTAAAAGAGTTGTACGTTACAACTATCGAATCCCTGGCATCACTAAAGGGATTGGGCATCAATATATCCACCTAGGATCCAATATTGATTGCCGTCATCAAAAATAAGCTGGATGTCACTATAAGAGCCTTGTACGAGCAATCATTGGGAAGCTCAAAGGAAATACAACCCTTGGACACAATGCTTTAGTTCCTAGAACAAAGAGTTCGAGTTCTAGGAACAGCGAAAATGACACAAATGTCAAGGAAATAGCCAAAAGGCACAACATGTGCAACAGTAAACACTGGACAATCGAAGACGCCTCTCTGCTCATTCTGCAAGAAGGCAAGCCATTGGCTCTACGGATGCGATGAGTTTCGCTCCAAGTCACCAACAGAACGACTAAATTGGGTACAAAAGCAGAAATTGTGTGTCAACTGTTTTAAAACAAGCCACAAAACAAATGCATACCCAAAAACACAATACACTGCTGCACTTGGACATACCATCGGGCGCAAGTACAGAAGCAAGAGCACCGACGGTTGGCGCAGCAAGTAACAATAATTACAACCTTTTAGCGACAGCAAAAGTAGCAGTAGAAGCAAACAATGGACAGAGAGCCAATTTCCGAGCTTTGCTGGATTCAGGATCACAGATCAACCTGATCTCTGAACGAATGGCATCAATGTTGTCAGTAAAACTTAATGATACAACATTACGCATCGAAGGAATTGGAGGTCAGTCTAAGACCAGCAGAGCAAGAGTAAATGTTCTAATAAAATCCCTTCACGGCGGATTTACGCAAAGAATTGAAGCATTCGTACTACCTCAGATAATTGCTGATCAACCAGCGCAGGCACTCGATGAAAGGAACTTGAGCATACAAAACAATTGCCCACTGGCAGATCCGGATTTCTATAAACTGGGAAAAGTCGACATGCTCATCGGAACAGAGCACTATTAGTCGCTACTACTCCCAGATCAAAAACAGCCAAATTCAGGATGCCCGTTGCTGCAAAATACAAAATTGGGATGGATTGTGGCAGGAAAAATCAGGTCTGCACACAACTCCTCATCCATTTGTGCAATTGGACTCAACGAGCTAATGGAAAAATTCTGGACTCTGGACTCTGGACAACTTAGAGACGGAAGAACAACCACGCACGTCAATCGAAGCAGATTGCGAAGCTTACTTTATAGAGAACTTACAAACAGCATCGGATGGCAGGTTGATAGAAAAAGTCCCAGTTTCCGAACACTCTTCAGTTCTGGGGGTGTCTCTGCAACGAAATAATTCCTGGCATTAGAGCGACGGATTTCACCAGACACCTGGAAAGGCTATGTGGAATTCATGAATGAATATGAAGGATTTGGACACATGAAGATGGTCTCAGCAACACAAGTGCCGGAGAGACATTACTTCATACCACACCACTGTGTACTCAAACCTGAGAGCACCAGCACAAAGCTACGGGTCGTTTTTGATGCATCATGCAAATCAACAAGCGGAAAGTCTCTAAACGACATTCTGCATGCCGGACCCACAGTTCAGAGTGAACTTATGTCCATTCTACTACGTTTTCGTATACATAAGTACGTATTCACAGCGGACCTCGAGAAAATGTACCGACAAGTGTAGATAAAACCCGAGGATCAATTTCATCAGATGATAGTCTGGAGAAACAATTGTGAAGGGATGGCTTTTGAGTAGTATAGTAGTGTTTATTGGATATAATAAGTTGAACAATATATGTAGAATGAATTAATTGAAAAAAAGGTTTTCTTGAACGTGTGTTATCTTGTTCGCTTCGACTTCTTAAGTAAGTATCGCCTCTGTTGTTATCGATGGCTAGGGGCCTATCGTGCGTATAACAGCCCCCAATAGAGTGGACCGCTTCTGTTGACTAACAGCTCTTCACAGTCGGCCTTTCCTGAAAAATCGCAGCGTCCTCGCGAGATTCGTAGGGTGAGTCGCCTTTCATGTCGTCATCTTCATCTGGTTCATCGGGTGGGAGTTCGCACCAGCATTTCATTCTGTCAGAAGAAACACCGACTTATAGTGCCTTTGCTTTCGATGGGCATGAGGGATATCTTCTACTAGATATCGGTCGTTTGGCAGAACCTTGCTGATAATAAATGGACCTTTGTAGCGAGGTTCCAATTTGCGTGATGTTCCTGTGCTAAACGGCTCATTCTCGACTAACACAAGATCACCAAGGGTATATACGGTTGGCTTGGAATGTCTAGCATCGTAACGTTTCTTCGCAGCAGCCCTATGATCGTTGACTGTAGTCGCAGCATCTGCTCGTAGCTTTTCCAACTCGTCATCTGTCAGCATCTTCAGATCCGGGCCTTGAATCGCATTTGTCACAGTGTTCTTGAGGATATCTTGTGGCTCATAACCATACAATAGCTGAAATGGGGAACATTTAGTCGTACTATTTACCATGGTGTTGATGCTCCATTGAATTGAGCGTATCTGGTCGTCCCATCGTTTTTCATTTTCATTTGAAGGCAATAGCATTGACAAAATAATCCGGTTGGTTCGCTCTGCATGTCCGTTCGCTCTCGGTGTCTTTACAGCATTGAGTATGTGCTTTACATTATTCGACTTACAATACTTTTCAAAATCCTTTGCAGTAAAAGCTGTACCGCGATCGGTAATGATTCGATCTGGCATTCCTAAGTAGCTGGTTACCTCCTGCAGGATATCAATAACGTGTTTCGTGGCTGTACTTTTTACAGCTCGCACTATGGTAAAATTATTGAATGCGTCGACAATCACAAGAATGTGCTCATTCCGTTTGGAACTCTTTGGGAAGGGTCCCAGGTGATCCGTATGTACGGTCGAAAAAGGGATCGGATGGATGTCATCATAATGGTATTGTTCTTCCTGACGTCCACCTGGTATCT